GCTACTTTCAAAATGGTATATGTGTATGCCTGCGAGAATAATATTTTGGTGGTTAGAATATTAATCTGGAATAAACTATGGTTCACCTTTTAAGGTTTAATGTTTGCCAGAGTGATTCAGTTATGGTCTAATGATGATCTGGACTACTCTAGCTTACATGTTGAACAATTTATATGGTTTTGCTGTTTCTCTCTTTGAATGCTCTTGCACTTCAACATTTGTGAAACATATGGAACATATTTAAGTTATTTGCTGTTACGTCATATGGTTATACAGTCATAGCTGCATGTCCCATATTGCTGTTTTTCCAGTCTAAAAGGAGCTTAGTTAATCTAATTTGTCGCAGTTGTGCATTTTATCCAAACTTGATAATTTTTTCGTTGATTTGTTTATATTTATATTTGATGAGATCAAGTATTTTTGTTTGTCACAGCTAATCAATCCTGCTGAAACTTTTGGTGACATTGTCATTGATTATCCGTAAGATGTCTCTTCTTCTTCTTAATGTCTATATACAATGGACTTGATGTGTTTCGGCCCAAAATATTAAAATTAATTGGAAATCTGTGATGTGATATTTCATCTCTGCCTAGCTTGAATATTCTACTTTCTATTAGTAGATAAAAAATTTCGGAATAATGTAGGATTGACTCTGTTTACGTTTGATGTGTATAGAGCATATATGCAGAAGGGTTTCTTTCTTTTACTCTCCAACTCCACAATAAAAGTATAAAAGTGAATGTAGTGGATTCATTTCCTAAAATTTCTTGCATAATCTTCCGAATATAGAATACCGATAGAGTTGATTTAAGGCATTGCCATCCATATATCATGAATTCAATTTGTACTGCATTTTACAGCTATGTTGAGTGCACTTCGGCTGCTATTCAAGCATTAACAGCATTTAAGAAGTTATACCCTGGGCATCGCAAAGTAGAAGTCGAGTGCTGCATAGAGAAAGGTGCAAAATTCATTGAAAAAATTCAAGAAGCCGATGGCTCATGGTCAGTTTGACTCTTCCATGTGTAGCTTCTTCTTAATACTTGTGGCACAATAAGTATGACCTGATGAAACATGCAGTTGTATCCCATCATTTCTTCCTCAAATTTGTGTTTTTCAACATCTGGCTCTACTCAACTAACCTTTCAAGTTCTTTGCATGGTTGTGTTTGATTTTTATGTTGTCTGGCAATCAACTACATTATTAATTACTGAAACTTTGTGACAGGTATGGTTCTTGGGCAGTTTGCTTCACTTATGGAACATGGTTTGGGGTAAAAGGCCTGGTGGCAGCTGGTCGAACTTTTAATAGTTGCTCTGCCATTCGCAAGGCTTGTGATTTTCTGTTGTCTAAACAACTCCCCTGTGGCGGCTGGGGAGAGAGTTACCTTTCATGTCAAAACAAGGTTGCGAATTTTCTAAACTAGTTGTTTTTTAATTCTTATGTGGTGATATGTGAATGCACAACCAGAATTTTGCAAAATGTGTACACATATAAACATAGTTACACAGACATATATATTAATTGTAAACCATGATTATTACCCGAAGCCCAAAGGTCATAATAGACAACATTGGTAGTTTCTGTTGAAGGACAAATGTTTTAGCTGCAGTTCTTGAATGTTCAATGTTGATACTAGAAATGAGTTAAGCTGCTTGGCTACGAGTTCAAGTCTTATCATCTTCATGATATGCTTCACACGTATGCATGGGCTATATGGAGACTGGAAATGTTTTTAGACATCACGTAATCTTCACCTGCATGCATTAGCTCGAAATTCTCATCATTGGAGAAATTATATATAGCATTATACTAGTTTGCTACTTAAATAATTCTACTCTTGTTTTGCTCAGTGTTTAATAGTGTACTTTCTGATGCATATGATATGTCAAAATCCTGTAAATGCTAAGGTTTATGCCTAAGTAATAAGTTCCAAGGTTTGACTATGTCTATGTCCCTAGAATCAGTATGTATTCTGTACTGCTTTTTGTGAATATGATGTTCCAATTGCCTGTTTCCTATATATTTTATTTTATTTTATTTTAACTACGTGAAAATTAAGGGAAGAGTGGAGTTCTTTTTCTTCAATATCGATTGTGGAGAAACTCATGCTGAGGACTGAAACACAACTCTGATTGGATGATCCCGTGTCATTTTTCAAGTGCCTCCGAGTAGGCTTATCTTTATATACTCAGAACTGATTTGTAGGATATATATTTCTTTTGAGAAAGTTATGATGAGTGATGCACACTTGTAAGAATTAGAAAGCTTGCTTTGACACTAGCTGATACCGAGGGAAAACTTTTAGATAATATATCTTTTGGATATCAAGTGTTCAATTACAATCTTGTCTAACTCTGTTTAATTTGAAGAAAATTTTGATCATCTTCCCTTAACTCAATGTCATTTGGAAACCTGATATGTCCTTACTGGTATTGTTTGGTATAGTTATTAATTTGATCAAATACTAAAATAATGCTCTCTCTTCAGGTGTATAGTAATTTAGATGGGAACAGGTCTCATGTGGTAAATACAGGATGGGCAATGCTGGCTCTCATTGACGCTGGGCAGGTAAGACTTTCAGCTATTACTATAACCATACTAATTTTAGTGTCTCGTTCCTGTTTTTGATTTACTTTGCTTTCAACTTTCGATATATGAGAAATAATGTCTATTAGAACACCTGCAATTGTAAAATAACATAGATAAGTTTATCCAAACTGATTGATGGGAGCAGCTTCAAGTTCTTTCTTTCATTATATCTATTGAACACAAATGCATATTTACCTTTCTCTGTTGCTATCATGCAGGCTGAGAGAGATCCCTTGCCGTTGCACAGAGCAGCCAAAATCCTAATAAATTCGCAGTGTGAAAATGGTGACTTTCCACAACAGGTAAGTTTGTTTCTGTCGTTAATTTAAAAGTTGAATATATTTGATGCATACTTCAAGCTAGTATACTGTTTACGGACCTAATTTACGTCTGAAGTGTATATTCAGGGAAAATACATTATATATTCCATTCTGAAGACAACCAATTCCTTCACTTCAAAAATTTCCTCAACTTTCTTTGAGTATTTCCATTTTACTTTATGTTATTGTAAACATGGTATAGATTTAGATGTATCAATTAGGTGAAATGGTAATTCCATATGTTACATTATATGACTAGTATACATACACCTTGTAATCTTTATTCTGAGATATATAAGAAATCAGTTTTACAGCTCTTCATGGCATCGGAACTAGAATAGAGTTAGGGTTTCAAAATTCAAGTTATTCGCTTTGGTGCTTCAAGCGACCTTATTTCAGGTGAGTTTTGGGTAGTGTATAAGTCGATGGTTGATTCCATATTTGAAATTGTACCAGTTACTAAAGGAGGTGGATTAGAATTTAATCTCCCAACAAAACTTTGGTGTGACAATCAAGCAACGAAACCATACACTGAATCCTGTATTTGATCAAATAAACCAAACACATCGAGATTGATTGCTACTTCATTCGGGATAAGATCGAACAAGGTTTTGTCACTACAGAATATGTAGGTCCGACAACCAGTTGGGATGTATTCACAACAGCAGTGAATGGTGTAAGAATGATAAATATTTGTAATAAGCTGGCTAGTATATGTTTGTAGTTGATATGTATTCTCAAGCTCGAGGGGAGTTATTTTAAATATGGTATAGGTATAGTTATATCAATTAGGTGATATGGTAATCCCATAGATTAGGTTATTGGTTCTTATCCCTTTCTTACATTTTCTCTGACCAGTATATATACACCTTTAATCTTTGGAACGGTATGCCATGTTAAGATTCATTTCCCTTCTTTGCATGACCTTAGTGTCACATTTGAGTGCTTCAGTCAACTAACTGATTGTGAAAAAAACTTAAAATACTTGCAACCTGGGATCAAATATGTGTATCTGAGTTTAAGGAGATAGCTAGGGGAAATTTATGTAGATCTAAATCAAATTTAAAAATTGTGATCGAGAAATTGTATAAATAATCGAAAGACAGAGAGGTTAGTGCATCACATTGTTTCTTTCTGAACGCTAACAGCATCGATTTATGGTAACACTTGCAAAGAAGTTAACCTCCGGAAATCAATCATATCGAGGTTGTTCACCAAAGCCACTATAACAAAGTATAATGTGAATATTTTCTTCATGATTTTTGTGCGGTACAAAATCGCTTCATGGTTTTTATCTTTTTTAGGCATGTTCATCGTACGAGACACTGCAATCCGTTGTTAAGGTTATTGTTGAAAAGAGGTAATTGTTTAAAAACACCATCATCACTAACAACTAATGTGTTGTGCTTTGTTAGGAAATAATGGGGGTCTTCAACAGGAATTGCATGATCACATATGCTGCATATAGGAATATATTCCCTATTTGGGCTCTTGGAGAATACCGTTCCCGGGTTCTACAAACTCAATGAAGTCAGCTGCGTTAGTTTAGACGTTTCCTTGTAATGGCCTGGAAAGTCCGGTTAGTTTGTCTTGTAGCCCTCATCTCTTTGTTCTGAGTTTCAACATGTACAAACTAAGCGTTGGTGTCGTTTAGATTATTTATTTATTTATTTATTTTTTGGATTTTTTGTTATGACCATGGTATTCCCCTCACAATACTTATTCCGAGTCCAATTTAATATGCGTGCCCTTGAGGCACATGATTCGATTCGATTCAGTATAACAATTTTACTGTTTTCCTGCCTTTATAGGAACATTTTTGTGCTTGGGTTTGTCATTTGTGCACATTTTGTTCATTTCGATTCTAGCATGCGTTTTTATATATTTCAGAGCTTCTGTTAGGTGTGTATTGTGACATTACTTTGTGGTGTTTGTTTTGCCAACAATGAAGAGACAAAAATTCGAACCAATCAAAGGCATAAGCCTAAGTACACATAACTTTTATCGATGTGCGCATATGCTTACAGGTGGGGGAAAGGCAAATTTGCCCGAGTGTCTTCCTCGAGAGGTCGACCTTTTATTTTCTTTAGAAAGGACTTTCGATTAAGTCGATGTTTAATCAATACGAAATAAATGCAACTTGTAACTTTCGAAAGCACACGTACACTACTCTGAAAGACCATTTATAATGTTTACGAATTCGAGGTTTGAACATAACAGAAAAATATATGAGACCACAGTCGGGTGAGGATAGTTCCCTATCAACATTATGGAACCTTATGTAACCTTTGTAATATCTAAAGTGTCAGTAATATCCCCTATATATTAATCCAGAACGCGCTGAGCCTACGTGACTGCTTCTGGTGCTTCGGAATCATGTGGCAAAATTACATGCTTCGTTATTAGATTTGGGTAAATTTTAATTTAATTCTAAATAAAAAATAATTAGGTTCGGATTACAATAAATATGGTGATTATTTATGGTCATGTTACATGTATTAATTGCATTTTAATATCATTTTTTATTATAACTATTGAATTGTAATTATATTTTAAAAGTTAATGACTTTTGTATTTTTTTATCAATTTTACATATGTAATATGTCAAATTAATTTTTTTTATTAGCTTCGATTTAACATCCATATTGTATGTATAAAAAAAATAATTTATATTTATCTTTATAACAATAATAAAATTATTTTTAATATTAATTAGAAAAATAAAATTATTTGTCAAATAATATATTTATATTTCAAGTAGTAATATGATATAAGTTATAAAAACTAATATAAGTGCTCGAGGACTTTCTTGTCTGCAGCTTAGTTAGGGATAGGGCTGTGAGCCCCTACCTATAAGTTTATCTTCGATACCACCATTCACTCACACCTGAACTCGGCAACGGATTTGACTCCTAACACATGTAAGTCATAAGTAACACATATCATTCTAAAATATATAGTAATATATTTTTTTTTGTAAAAAAGTAAATTAAATTTAATATTGTTTTTTCATTTATTTTAAAATTTAAGAATAATTTTTTAACAAGCACCCGTATAATACACGGTGTTGTATTAGTTTGTACAAAAAAAAAATGTCAGTAATATGGAAAAAGTGGTTGTAATTCCTGTGGCTGTATGGAACGACCATCTCTTTGTAATTCAAGTTTTTATTTTTTATTTTTTTTAGTTGGAGGGCATTATTCCTGTGGCTGTATGGAGCGACCATCTCATCGAGTCTTTTATAGGTGGGTTGAATTTGTAATAATGTGGTGGGCAAAAGTGGGTCGGGTTCTTTTAGAAACTTTGACCAATTAAAACCTCTATATTAACGTGGAAGATAATGTTCTCTTATCCACGGTAGACACGTGTTAATATGGCCGTTTTATGTGGCGTGCAAACATTGGTGATGTTAATATGTTTAAAAAAATACATCATCAATGTGTGTACGACAAATAAGCGGTGGACATATTAATATGTGCCCACCGTGGGTAGAGGAGCATTCCTCGTAAGGTGGAAATGTTATTTAGAAGATCTTTTGAAACAACAGTAATGGGTAGACCAACATTTTTCATCACCGTAAACAGAAAATAAACAGTGGAAAGTCTTGCATTATGGGTTTACTTGGCTATTGACTTTGAGCATATTAATTTGGTGGATTTGCACATCTTATAGTGAATATGTGTTTCTTAGTGTGGATGCAAATATATCTGCTCAGTACGAGTTTTCTTAGTGATTAATTAGAGTTTAATTTTTAAAAAGTAGTATTGCTATAGTTGTTAATAGAATTACGAGTTTATATTAAAATAATTAAAATTGATTTGATGTAAAAATTCGAAACATATGTAGACATGTCCACGGGCCGAACCGGCCCGCGAACCGGAACCGGCACCAGCCCTGAACCGTCCTAAGGGCCGGTTCGTTGAACCGGAACCGTAAGGCCGCGATTCGGTCCTGATTCCACTTTTTTTATTTTCGTCCCGCCAAGGCATGGCCGGGCCGGCCAAATATGTGTACCGTGTACACATAAATAAACACGTCTTTTGCACTCCTATGTTTTTCACTTGAAAGAATCCATAATTACATTGTCAAAGATTCAATGCAATAAAGTAAGAAAACTCGTCATACCAGTTGCAGTAATAATAATAATAATAATAATAATAATAATAATAATAATAATAATAATAATAATAATAATAATAATAATAATAATAATAATAATAATTATTAATATTAATAATAATAATAATAATAATAATAATAATAATAATAATAATAATAATAATAATAAGAACTTCTCTATATGACTTGAATCTCAAATATTATTTGTGTACATTTTATTTCAATTTATTCATTGTATATTCCAATCCCCAATTTTGAATTACGGGGTCTGCTTAAATTGGTCATCGAAGCACTAATTTTGAGCCTAAAAGAATAAAAGAATTGAAACACATTTGCAAAATTAGTTCATGAGGGAAACCATGAAAATGTTCTTGATAGCACTAGATTCATCATTCATTAATGAATAACTAGTCGTGGCTCGTGCGATGCACGATATTTCCAAAACTGGTGAGTCAAAGGTTCGACCCATATTTTACAACTTTTTATTTCTACTTTTTCGATCAACCTCTTTCGATATATATAGATATAGACGAATATTTGACAAATAAAATAAAGCTTTGTTGTGATGAATAGCCTAACAATTCCAGCAGTTAGCTTTAACACTTGATTTTATCAATTACGGCATGAATCATGATAGTATATATTAAGAAAACAATGTCAACAAAAAAGAGCTCCTTTAATTAGTTTGTTACAGCACAGGTGATTATAATTAAGGTTTGACCTAAATAATCAAATATTAAGATTAAATTTCATGAATGAATTTACAAAAGTAAATTGAAGAGTGAACATACTGTATCTTAATTATGATCTAACTATGGTGCTTATTAAAAGGTGTTGCGATTTGTTGTCCATAAAAAATAATTTATTACTAATTAAAATTACATTTTTGTTCTAATAAAAATATTTTACCTAGTTTTACCCAAATTAATATTCTTATCCAAATTGCTATTTGTGGCCCTTAAATTAATTGGACCTACTTTTATCAGAATCAACATTTTCACCAATCTCTTTCTTTACTTTTACAAAATCCACATCTTCATCAATCTCCTTCTTCCTCTTTATTAAACATTATTAACTCACTAATCTCCACATTATTCTTCGTTAATATCGGGAACACATGCAAATTAGATAAATTATGTCAAACCATTTTTTACTTGCAAATGAGGTAAATTGTGTCAACCTTTTTTTTTTATTATTATTTTCAATCACAAATGGATCCCTTGATTTTTTGAGTGTTTAAGTTATTTTATGACTTAGATCATTAAACCCTCTTCATATATGTTGCATTAAACCAATGTGATGGGCTGATTAATATGGTAGAATAAATAAAGTGATAATAGATGTTGGTTAGGATTTAAGTTCGTTCAATAACGTCCCAAGTAACAGCAAGAACATGGACTAAGCGTCTAGCTAAGCTTAGATACGGCAGAAACGTTTTATTGTCAAGCTACATGACCCATAAAACGTCTAACTCGAAAGCCCGACTGTGAAGAGAAACATCCAGTTTGCAAGGGGCAACAGTTAGGAAACATAAATACTCAAAGCTTGGAAACCTCTAAAATATCTTAACGTAAAGCTTATATGCAGTTCAAACGGCTGAACCAAAAGCTTGTTTTTCTGCAACTGGATTTTATATTTTTTTTTGTTTATCACCTATATAATTTATGATTATTATTAATAGTTACTTTTTATGAAATGTGGTAATAAAACGTTGTAATTTAACTATTTATAGAATGAATTTAAAGATTTTGGATTATTTTCAAGACGGGTAAATACATGAGAGTTATAGTGCAACTTTACATTATTGCTACTTTCTTGCCATATACTTAGGGTATGAGCTGAAAATAACTTCAAAGCATTTACCCACCAGTGTGATGCTTAGATGTAATGGGGAACAGAAAGAAATCAAAAAATGGAGGGTAAATCCTTTGCTTGGTCCTCATGTCCACCCCGAATAGAAAGAACATGGAGAACCGGATGTGAATGAATCACGTAGAGAGGTCGACCTACCAGCAGAGCCTCTGCGAGTCGTAACGTGTCTTCGTGGGACATTAGTTGTCTCAACATCACTCAAGGGAATCAAAGTTCGCCACGTAGTTTTTCTCGTGGTCGTGGTTCCTCATGTGGGCATGGTCACGAGACATCGAATTACCTAAACACTCAAGGTATACAACTACAATCATATTTTACTTTAAGTTTTATGTCTTGACGTTTGTTGGTATACATAAGCTTCCATTTTGTAATTTCTAGGTGGTGGTCCAGATGCTGTTCTTTATTGGGAGAATTGTTATAAGATTTCTCCATTTATTTTTCCATATGTCGAAGGGTATTTGGACATTGTTGGCGACGATAATTGCGGTTTCCGTGTTATAGTTTATTGTTTTGGTAATAAAGAAGGGTAAGAATAATTGTCATATAGATTAAGAATAAGAAAGATAGCGAATAATATAAGTAAAGTTTAAATAAAAAAAAAAAAAATTGGTGGGTCCGCCTGGACCCAGCCCAACTCGGTACGGCCCGACACGATCCACAAATTAAATGAAATAAAGAAAAAAAGAAAACTATGGTGAGCCGTCTCGAGCTCGGCCTGGCGCGGGTCAAATTTTTTTATACATAAGGCCCATAACTAACCCGATCAAATTATGTGCTCAGTTATGGGCCTGTTGACCACATGCCAGTTCAGGGTCGATTTGATCTATTCGGGTCGAACCGGCGTGCTGAGTCATCCCGTCGCCATGACTAGTTACTTTGAACCCATAAGATATAAACTGGAATGTGCATCAGTACCTCTACTTTGATTCACAAAAAAGTGAGGTTCATTTTATTGGACCAGTAATCTAAGTGAGGTCCATTACAACTATTACAATTATTTACACTAATAAGATACTAATTATATTACATAACTAAATCTTGGCCATTGGATGTTAACTGTCAAGATGATCCAACAGTGAAATTTAAAAATTTGATCGTTGGGCAACCGTTGTGGAACCGGCAGGCCGGGTCAAAACTGAAACCCATACCCAGACCGTGGAACCAAATTTCTTAGAAAAATATCTGATAGTTGGATTTTCCATGGTCAAAAGCTTTCAACGGCCCAAATTAGCAGGCTGCCAACGGACCAATACCGTGCCACGGGCTAACCCGACTCGGTCCGGCCTAACAAGGTCCACATATTAAAAAGATATAGCAAAAAAGAAAAATAATGGTGGGCCATCTCGAGGGCCGGCCCAGATCTGGGGGCCAAATCCAAAATTTTTATACATGAGGCCCAAAACTGGCTCGATCAAACTACGGGCTCAGTGCTGAGCCTGTTGTCCATGGGTTGGTTCAGGGCCGATTCTATCTATTCGGGTTGAACCGACGGGCCGAGTCATCCCGTCGCCATGACTAGTACTCTGAACCCATAAGATATAAATAGGAATGTGCATCAATATCTCTACTTTGATTCACCAAAAAGTGATGCTCATTTTTAAATCAGTAATCTAAGTGGGGTCCATTCACAGATATCGTAATTATTTATAAACTAATAAGATATTAATTGTATTTCATAACTAAAGCTTGACCATTGGATCTCAACGGTCAAGATGATCCAACAGTCAAATTTGTTAACAAAATACGATATTTTTTTTATTAAAATAAGATCGAATTTGTTATCGAAATCTGAAGTTTGTTACCAAAATTCGATCAAATTTGTTACCATAATTCGATTAAATTGATTGACAGGTGGGGCCCATTGATAATGCTTATATTAGTAAGTCAACAATTAATTTTTAGTTTGATGATTATGTGACATATCAATGTGACATAATGTTTACCAAAATTAATGGAGTTTGTTAAATTTAATTTGGTAACGCTTTTTGGATTGATTGAAAAATAATATTTTTGTTTTAATATGTATCATTTATCAAATCTCGAGATTTTTTCTGCAATATTTAACTCCAAACAATCTGAAAAAATTGTGAAATATGTTATCAAAATAAATCTCAAAGATTATCGGCAATATATTGTGTGTAAATAATATGAAGTGTGTTAACAAAAAAAACCAATATTTTAAAAGATTTGCTATTAAAATTCAGGATTTGTCACAATCCTAAATTTGTTATCACAATCAGATCAAATTTGTTAACAAAATTCGAGACTTGTTACCAAAATACGATCAAATTGTTACCAGAATTTGAGATTTGTTATCAAAATAGTATCAAATTTGTTACAAAAATCAGATTAAATTGGTTAACATGTGGGGCCCATTGATATTGTTTATATTAATAAGTCAACAATTAATTTTTCAAGTCAAAGTTACTATTTTTGTATTTTTTCCAACAACCTCTTTATACTACTACTATAGATAGTAAAAAAATATAGCAAACTCATGGTGGACACCTGTTAATATGTCTACCGCTTATGTGGCATGCACACATTGGTGATGTATTTTTTTAAACATATTACCATCACCAATGTGTGCATACGATGACTCGTTCCACATCATATTAAATTATTATTTTAAGTTATCGAATTATGGGAAGTATATTCACACTCGCTTCCCTAATGGGAATGTGTTTGCACCAAAAACAAAAAGTAAATCGTTATTACCAATCCGCGTGAGCTCAGCTCACATTTTGACCCTAATTAAGCCACCAAGATAAGACTTCATGTAATAAAGCCACAAAACTCCACTTAATTTACTAATATTTTTAGCATGCCCAGATTGAATAATATTCGTGATATTCAGTATTTCAACTGGAGGATCAACCAACAATTAATTAAATATCCTCAAATTGAGTTATTTCATAAATAAAAATAATAAACATGCTATGTTTTCTTAAATTAAAAATAATAATTTTGAAAATTATACTACCAATTCAATTTAATTATATATACCTTGAAATTGAATTATTTGATGAAAGAAGATGATAACTTTTTCTTTATTCAAAGCACCACTAATTTGGAAAGGAGAATTAATTAAATCCTCAAATTGAACACTACAAAAAAACACTTCAATTTCAACGAAAAATTCCAACGGCAAAATTTACGTTGGAAATTCCAATGAATATTCCAACAAACTTAATTTTATGTTGGAATAAGTATTGGATGATTGAGGAATTCCAACGGATTTTTTCGTTGGAATAGTTGTAGGAATTTATTTCCATAAGATTTTCCGATGGATTTTAGCTATTCCAACGACCGTTTTTCCCACGAATTTTTATACGTATGAATATCCGTTGGAATAGCTATTCCAACGGAAAATTTTCGTTGGAATGTAAGAGTTTTTTTTTT